ACAAACAAAGCTCAAAGTCAGTAGAAGGAGGGAAATAATAAAAATTAAAGCAGAAATAAATGAAAGTGAAACAAAAAGGACAGTAGAAAAGATCAATGAAACAAAGAGCTGGTTCTTTGAGAAAATAAACAAAATTGACAAAACCTTAGCCAGGCTCACTAAGAAAAAAAGAGAGAAGATTCAAATAAATAAAATTAGAAATGAAAGAGGAGAAATCACAATGGATACCACAGAAATACAAAAAATTATAAGAGAATACTATGAAAAACTATATGACAACAAATTGGACAACCTAGAAGAAATGGATAAGTTCTTAGACTCTTCCAACCTCCCAAAACTGAATCAGGAAGAAACAGAGAATCTGAATAGACGAATCACAAGTAAAGAAATTGAAACCATAAATCAAAAACCTCCCCAAAAATAAAAGTCCACAACCAGATGGCTTCTCTGGAGAATTCTATCAAACATTCAAAGACTTAATACCTATCCTTCTCACATTCCAGAAAATTGAGGAAGATGGAGCACTTCCTACAACACTCTACGAAGCCAACATCACCCTGATCCCAAAGCCAGACAAGGACAACACAAAGAAGGAAAACTAGAGGCCAATATCACTGATGAATATAGTTGCAAAAATTGTCATCAACAAAATTTTGGCAAACTGAATACAGCAATACATTAAAAAGATCATACACCATGATCAAGTGGAATTTATACCATGGACAGAAGGATGGTTCAACAGCCACAAGTCAATCAATGTGATACACCATACTAACAAAAGGAGAAACAAAAACCACATGATCATCTCAATAGACGCAGAAAAAGCATTCAACAAGATCCAACATCCATTTACGATAAAAACTCTGATAAAAATGGGTATAGAAGGAAAGCACCTCAACATAATAAAGTCCATATATGATAAACCCACAGCCAACATCATACTCAATGGGCAAAAACTGAAAGACATCCCTCTGAGAACAGGAACAAGACAAGGGTGTCCACTCTCACCACTTTTATTCAACATAGTACTGGAGGTTTTGACCAGAGCAATTAGGCAGGAAAAAGAAATAAAAGGAATCCAAATAGGGAGGGGAAAAGTGAAACTGTTGGCAGACGACATGATCTTATATATAGAAAACGCCAAAGAATCCATTGGAAAACTATCAGAAATAATCAACAACTACAGCAAAGTGACAGGGTATAAAATCAACTTACATAAATCAGTAGTATTTCTATACTCTAATAACAAACTAACAGAAAGAAAACTGAAGAACACAATCCCATTCACCATTGCAACAAAAAGAATAAAATACCTTGGGGTAAATTTAACCAAGGAAGCGAAAGACCTATACAACGAAAACTACAGGACCTTCCTGAAAGAAACTGATAATGACATAAAGAGATGTAAAGACATTCCATGTACATGGATTGGAAGAATAAACATAGTTAAAATGTCCATACTACGTAAAGCAATCTACAGATTCAACGCAATCCCAATCAGAATCCCAATGACATTCTTTACAGAGATAGAACAAAGAATCCTAAAGTTCATATGGGGCAACAAAAGACCGTGAATTGCTAAAGCAATCCTGAGAAAAAAGAACAAAGCTGGAGGCACCACAGTCCTTGACTTTAAAACACACCTCAAAGCTACAGTAATCAAAACAGCATGGTACTGGTACAAAAACAGGTACATAGATCAATGGAACAGAATTGAAAGCCCAGAAATAAAACCACACATCTATGGACAGATAGTCTTCAACAAAGGAGCTGAGAACATACAATGAGAAAAGAAAGTCTCTTCAACACTGTTGTGAAAACTGGACAGCTACATGTAAAAGAATGAAAATCAACCACTCTTTTTCACCATTCACAAAAATGAACTCAAAATGGATCAAGGACTTAAAGGTAAGACCTGAAATCACAAGGCTTCCAGAAGAAAATACAGGCAGTACTCTCTTTGACATCAGTCTTAAAAGGATCTTTTTGGATACCATGTCATCTCAGATAAGGGAAACAACAGAAAGAATAAACAAATGGGATTTCATCAGACTAAAGAGCTTCTACAAGGCAAGGGAAAACAGGATTGAAACAAAAAAACAACCCACCAATTGGGAAAAATATATTTGCAAATCATACATCTGACAAAGGGTTAATCTCCATAATACATAAAGAATTCACACAACTCAACAACAAAAAATCAAACAACCCAATGAAAAAATGGGCAGGAGACATGAAGAGACATTTCTCCAAAGATATAAGGATGGCCAATAGGCACATGAAAAGACGTTCATCATTGCTGATCATCAGGGAAATGCAAATCAAAACTACACTAAGATATCACCTTATACCCATTATAATGGCTAAAATAACCAAAACAAAAAATAGTAAACGTTGGAGAGGTTGTGGAGAAAAAGGAACCTTCAGACACTGCTGGTGGGAATGCAAAGTGGTGTAGCCACTATGGAAAACAGTATGGAGATTTCTCATAAAATTAAAAATAGAAATACCATATGACCCAGCCATCCCACTACTGGGTATCTATCCAAAGAACTTAAAATCAGCGATTCCAAAAGACCCATGCACCCCTATGTTCATTGCAGCATTATTTACAATAGCCAAGATGTGGAAGCAACCTAAGTGCCCATCAACTGATGATTGGGTAAAGAAGATATACATACATACATACACACACACACACACACACACACACACACACACTGGAATACTACTCAGCCATAAAAAAGGATAAAATCGTCCCATTCACAACATGGATGGACCTTAAGGGTATTATGTTAAGTGAAATAAGCCAGACAGAAAAGGAAAATTTCTGTGTGACTCCACTCATAAGTAGAAATTAAACATGTAGACAAACAGAACAGATCAGTAGTTACCAGGGGAAAGGGGGGTTGGGAGGTGGGCACAAAGGGTGAAGTGGTGCATCTACAATATGACTGACAATAATGTACAACTGAAATTTCACAAGAGTGTAAACTATCACAATATCAATAAAAAAAAAAGAAAGTGAAAAGGCAAGTCACAAAGCGGGAGAAAGATTTTCAATACGTATATTCAACAAAGGATTTACAATCGGCTCTCCATATCCACGGGTTCCACATCTACCCATGGACCCAACCAGTCGCAGATCGAAAGGCCTAGATGGTTATGTCTGTACTGAACATGTAGAGACCTTTTTTTCTTGTCATTATTCCCTAAACAATAAAGTATAACAACTATTTACATAGCATTTACATTGTATTAGGTATTATAAGTAATCTAGAGATGATTTAAAGTATGCAGGAGGATGTACCTAGGTTATATGCAAATATTATACCATTTTATATACGGGACTTGAGCATCCAAGGATTTTGGAATCTGCAAGGGGTCCTGGAATCCATCCCCCTCAGATACCGAGGGATGACTGCATATTCATAAGATATCAATGCCACAAATCAATAAAATAACCCTTTTCTTTAAAATTTGCCAATGGCAGGCCCTTCACAAAAGAGGATATTCAAATAACTAATAAGCATATGAAAAAGGTACTCATTGTTCATCAGGAACACAAAGAAGCAGACTTTTTAAGTGTCTTAAATTTAAATGAGTTCGATTACTAATCTTCCACCCCTTGCTCCCTTTCTAAGTCCATTATTACCATCTTTGCTCCCTAAGTACAATCATCTCCTTTCTAGCTTGTACCTCAATATATACTAAAAGAGACAGCTTGGGATTTAGCTCCCTAATACCATATGAGATCTCCCTTAACTTTTTAAATTTAAACTATATCCCAGTTTCTAATTCCTTATGTGAAAGCATAATCTAAAATATTAATCATAATTTACTCTCCCTTCCAAATAGTTATTTATATTCTTAACCATATTCTTCATATAACCAGAAAACAAAATGAATTTTAGGAGACATCTAAAATTTAATTGGACATAGCAATAGAAAGGTTTGCGCTGCTATACTGTTTCCAATACACAATTGTTTTTTTTTAAAGATTGGCAGGTGAGCTAACATCTGTTGCCAATCTTTTTCTTTTTCTTTTCCTTCTCCCCAAAGCCCCCCAGTACACAGTTGTATATTCTAGTTGTGAGTGCCCCTGGTTGTGCTATGTGGGACGCCGCCTCAGCATGGCCTGACAAGTGGTGCCACGTCCGAGCCCAGGATCCGAACCAGTGAAACCTTGGGCCGCCGAAGCGGAGCGTGCAAACTTAACTACTCGGTCACAGGGCCAGCCCCAATAATACACAACTTTTTATCACGAAATACTTCATTTCTCTCAAAATTATGAATTAACTCTAAAATAAGAAGGTTTTGCTTACTACAGTATCCTAAGCACAGCCTTAAAATATTATAGTTGCTTCCAATATTATTCAAGAGCATATTTTATATGCACTTTGAAGTACTTAGACAAGTTTTTTTTTAAGGCCCTATGACTACAAGAATATAAAGAGCAATAGTGCCATCTACTGGAGAACAAAGACTATGTTACCTCTTCAGCAAAGTCCACTACTTTCTAACAAACAAATTCCAGGACCATGTCTACGTAGCTTTTCCATCAATTATATAACATATAATTAACTATCAAGAGAAATCTGTTCATGTAACCAGCTACACAGCAGTTACAACTCAATCTGATGAGATTACAAATGTCTACTACCCCATTCCCACCACAAAGGAAATTATGCAGAAGACCAAGGGAATTAACATCCAGGTGGCTCAGAAATGACCTGGGATTTCCTTTCAATGACTTCTTTTCAAAATCCTAACCTTATACTTCTTAAGAAAAAAAAAAAAAGGCTTTTTTCAACATGACTCATTTACTCAGCGTTTTGTGCCCAAAAAATTAGAGATCCCTAAAAACAGAAGGTCAACAAGAAATTCACATCCCCCACCAAATAAAAAAATTAATGGAGAAAAGCAATACTATAGATACTGATTTGTAATTAACTATGTAGAACACTTTTCTTCTTCAGTAGTTAATGTATTATTTTCTTTCACATATCAAACACTTCATGAATTCACACGTCATCCTAGCTCAGGGGCTATGTTAATCTTCTCTGTATTGGTCCAATTTTAGTACATGTGCTGCTGAAGCAAGCACAAACACTTTCTTTCGCATAAAGAATGAAGATTAACAGGTACATGCTTATACCTCCCTGAATTTGGGAAGGATTACACTGTGGGGGGAAAGTAAAATGGAACTTACTGAGGTGCTACACGTCTCCAGTAACGATCAATTCCATTTTTAAAATACAGCACAGCGAGCCACCTTACATTTATATCCAGAGTGTGGTTTGTGAAAATATTCTGTAAATAAAAAACACAGTATTAGAATGAACACGTAATAAGTTAAAAGTATAATTAATATACCCACAATAAAGTATGGATAGATTTTTTTTTTAATTAAATGTTTCATTTAAATTTTATCATTACATATATCACATTGTTATTTTCTAAGTATCTATAGCTCTACAATTCATATAAAAGAGTACACCTGCTCAGCAGTATGAAAATTGTTTAAGCTGAGTAATGGATATGTGAAGATTCATTATACTATTCTACTTTTAGGCATGTTTGAAAATTTTCACAATAAAAAAACTTGGAAACAAATAAACGTAATTATATATCACAACCTACATACACATACAAAACTAAAATAAACACCTTCTAAATTAAAAACGAAAAACCAGACCCACCACAGCATAGATTCAAAGATTCTAAGCAGTCAAAAGCCCCAGGTTATTAATACATGACATAAAATAAACTATTTCAAAGTATCCTCCTTATCAAAACAATCATGCTTACAAATAAGTTGGATAGCAGAACATTTTTAAGTGATATAAAGGCAGATGTGATGTGAATAATTTCAATTCAAAATTAACCATTACTCAAAAATTTCATTCACAGTGCTATTCCAAATACAGGCAATCTCACTTTGCGTAGTAGTGGGAGAACATAAAAATGACTGTGCTAGCTAAACTATGCAACATGATCTTAATAATCAAGGAGAAGTTACAATTGTTCTGTGCCCTTTAAAAATTTTTATCAAAAAATTTTTTAAAATTGCTACTAAAAATTTATAACTAATAGTTATAAATATATATGGACATAAAAGAATAATAAAACTAATACACTGTAATTTAAACATCACAAACACTGAAAATTAAAGTGCTTTATTTCTTTATAAAAAACTTATTTAGAATAGTGAGTGCACAGGACAAATGTAGGAACATGTTAACCGACTGAAATTCTACTATACCTCAGGCCAAAAACAACTCAAATCCCCAGAGTTGACCTATTAAACACAATCTCGTGTGGGAAAACCTGAAAGCCAAAAATAATGATGTGGAAAGTGTATTTTTTACTGGAGAAAAATATATATGTTAAGTATTAAAAACAGGTATGTATACCATAATCCCATTTTTCGAAAATCATGTACGTACAAAAAAAATTACAAAGACAGTTGTGTGATGCCCACTTATTCCTTAACACCCCTGACAACTGAGTCAGAGTCCTTCTTTTGGTTTCTTTTGCAAAAGAAAGAAGAGATTTCTCTTACCACATTAATCACATTCGATTTTAACACTTTACAGGTCCACCTTCCACACTAGATTGAGTCATGTCTTATGCCTGGAGTCTAGCACAGAGTCCAGCATAGCAGAAACTTCATAAATATCCGTTGAGCAAATGAATGAATGAATGGAAGTAATGTGGGAATATTGTGGAATTGGGTGGATATCCGCCTGTCTCAGCTATACTTAGGAAACCACGAAAAGTCAGGCTGCAGGTGTCAATCCAAGTAGAAATATTCCATAAGTATTCTGAATAACAGGACTAGAGCACAAGCCTGAGACTGGGCATATAAATTTAGGACTCTCCAGTCTTGAATGAACAGCTAAGGCTAAAAAAAATAAATGTGACAAGACAGTGAGTACAGGGTAAAAAGAAGAATTAAGTTAAACTTAGCAGTTTTCTAATCTATTCCATCTAAAAGAAATTTTACTATCCATCCAAGAAGACAGTATAGCCAGTAGAATTAAAAACAAAAGCTTTAGGCATTTAACATTATTAATAATTCATACATTACACAAAAAGTCAATAGTTAAGCAAGCCTACTGGTTTTTTTAAAGTCCAGCAGTAACTAAAATAAGAAATTCTAAAAGTGTTTTATATTTTGGCCTGAAAAAACACAAGGCTAGTTACAGAACATATTTATTTAAATAAGCATACGAAGAGTAAAGAAACATAGAGATTTCCCAAAGATTTATACCGTGCCCAAAATTTACAAACATAATGCTAGGATTACCTAAACAAAAATATTTTCTTTAGTATCTTTAAAAATTAATCTGTTTTTTACCTTTTCGTTATGAGCCAAACAGCTAACTTTCAGGTACATTCAGAATATCAATAATGACTCTAGACATTTAATTTCCCTTATAGTCATGACAGTATCTTCCTAAATCTAACAAACTTTTTAGTCATGAAGCCAAAATATGTACGTCAATGGCTATAATTTTCTATTTTACAAGATATGGTAAATAGTTTGCTCTGAATTTGCAACCCAGTCACAAATACTGGATCAGTTTCTGCTCTAATTGGTAGCCTCAGTGCCCTGGTCAGAGACTACATCTCAAACACTAATCAGAGTTCTCAAATTTTCAGAAGAAAAAAAGAGTAAGGAAGGTCCTCAATCAAAAAGATATCTTTTCATTCTGGCACCGAGAAAACAATTTTGATTAACTAACCAGAAGCTTTAAACTCCCAGAAGGTTTAGTCAAAGCATATATTAATTAAATTATTATACTATTTCCCATAACACTCAGGAAAAGATGTGTTAAGAAAACGAAAAGTTTAGTTGGGAAAAGAAAACAACCTTTTAAAGTGAAACACACTGAGCAAGGCAGAGCTGGCCAGATGCTGCAGTGGGGAGGCCTGAACAACTCTGCCAACAGAAATGAACTGGGGCAAGGATAGAAACAAAACATGAAAGTGGACTACCTAGAGTCTCGAGCTCAGCATTAACATTCTAAAACCAAAAATCAGTGTAGTGCTGCCTTCCGAGCAGATACTACCAATACCCAACTCGGTCATTTATTCATTCACCATCAAATATTTCTTAAACACCCTCAAAGAACCAAGCCCTGAATTAATAAATGGCAGTGGCAAGGGCAACCAAACACTTGGATCAGTTTCACTAAAGTAAATCACCAATACAAGCAGAACAATTAAAGCTGCAACAATTAAAATAATGGTATCTCATTTTATTAAAACTAATAGTGAACTACTTTAAAACAACTTACCAGCAACACCGAATAGAAACCTGGCTGTGTCTCCCACTGTTTCAACTGCTCCTCAGCTGGCTTTAACACAGCAGTATCCTGACTGGTGGCCTGTGTTAAGACCTGAAGAACAACAGTGCTGGCACTATTGAGATCCATGGAAACCTGGCAATGAGAAGTTAACATACTCGAATGTACATTATACATAAAAAATTAACAGTAACATAAACGGAGAAAAAGCTTCAATGTTCTCAATTGCCCCTATACCTCAATCATTTACCCACTCCTTCAGGTTACTGCTGAATTTCCCTCTTTTCTATGTACCACCCATACTCTTACTTAAAATGCCCATAATTCACTTCAAACCAGTTAAAATAAAAATAAAAGTTTTTTTAAAGAGCCCACATCCGAGCATATATTACCATATATATATATTACCATATATATATTGCCAAGCATAACACAAAGTGCTTTATTCATTTATTTATTCCTAATAATAATTCCATGTGATAGATAGAAAACTAAAGGATTAGATACCTCGCCTTGCCAAGGTCACAATTTACTAAGTGGCAGTGCTTGGACTCGAACACCAAACCCACCAGTCTTAATCACTATTACTGCCTTCCTTGAGCAACAGAATCAACATTGAAGGCATCTCTGTAATCCCAGAAGCCCAACAAGATAAACAACATATGCTTAGTAAATATTTACTGAAAAAAGAAAAGTGATCATTTTTGACCAATAAACTACGTCACAATGAACCACGTGGCAGCTAATTAACTGATTTAGTCAACAAAATTGCTGAAAGCCTGCTGAGTACCAGCCACTGCTCAACTGCTGAGAATACAGCAGAGAACAAAACAGTGGCCCTGACTTCATGCAGCTTACATTCTAGTGGAAAAAGATAAATCTGTTAAAAAAAGAAAAGATTGGTGATATAAAGAAAACAAGATGATATTTAACATCATCCGAATGCAAGTGAATGTGTTACTTTAGACTGGGTGTTCCACGAAGGCTTCTCCAAAGTGATACCAAAGAGATATGAGTGACAAGAGAGACCCAGCCATGCAGAGCTCCAGACAGGGAAAACAACTGACAACAAGGCCTAAGATAAGAAACAAACTTAAGAAGGCCAGCCAGTATGATGGACACTTAATAAGAGAAAAGGGGAAAATGGTACAAGATGACTTGGAGAAATAGGCAGAAACAAATCATGCACAATTTTGCAGGGGAAAATAAAGTGTCTGAGCTTTTACACATGTACAAAAAAACCCACTGGAAGTTAGCAGGAATATATGAATATATTAACATAAATATAATAAAGACAGGCTCTACCAGAACTCATTCCCACCCAAACCCCACCCCGCAAAAAGAAAGAAAAAAAGCCATATCCCTGTTTGGGGCTACTACTTGAAAAAAAAAAATCACTGACTACTGCCAATGGCCAGAGCAATTTTCCTCTAGAGCAAAGTTTGTGCAGAGCACTCACATACACACGTACCTTCACATTTCACACTTCTCTGGACCTTCACAGCAAAGCGATGTTTAAGGCTATGTACTCTTATCTTCATGCCCCACTTACCCGCACCATTTCCCTGTTCTAATGGAAGCTGCGAGAGTTGACCATCTCTATCTCCCACCAGCACCCTGCTCCATCCAGGTCCTCCCCAGAAGTAGATACTCTGTCCCTCCTTTCCCTTGCTTTTTTTTTCAGTTTTACTGAGAAATAACTGACATACATCACTGTGTACTCCCCTTTTGTTTCTTGCTACCAGGAAGCCCAACCAGTCTGGAAGGGAGAGCTCAGTTCATGTATTTCTGG